TCCCTCCAGAATACTATACAGTCACTCCTCTGTTTTCGTGGACTTCAAGTCCATGTCCCTTGCCCATTTATAGGAGGTGAACGGAGGGGGACAAAATGGGGTGTGTGCCTATGGCACACCCTGGCACATGCCTCCATTCAAGCCAATGGGGCTTGAATATCCACGATTTTCCGTTTTCACGGGGTGGGGTTGGGTCCAGAATGGATCCCCCACAAGAACGGAGGGGTGACTGTAGTGTGTGCAAATGAACCCTTCATAAGCATGCAGCAAACCTTCTGATGTTTCAGATGTTAAGAAAGTGGAACAATTAACTCTTGGGGATTCATTCACAACAATGGAGATTTTCAACTTTATAGGAGTGAGAAATTGGCTTGATCTAATTAACATTTGGACAGTATTGCTCACAGCTTTCAATTTGTTGCACTTCAGAGCTTGGGAAAATTTGGCGGGACTACAGCTCCCAGGACCCTGCAGCCAGCATGGCAAGTGACCATGATAGTTGGGAGGTTATTATAAGCTGCAGTCTAAAATCATTAAGGCCGTTGTCTTCCCAATTACCATGTACGGATGCGAGAGCTGGACAGTGAAGGAAGCAGACAGAAAATCAACTCATTTGAAATGTGGTGCTGGAGAAGAGTACGTAGGATACCATGGACAGCCAAGAAGGCAAACAAATGAGTTCTTAATCAGATCAGACCAGGGCTCTCCTTGGAAGCTAAGATGATCAAGTTGAGAGTATCGTACTTTGGCCACATAATGAGAAGGCAATAATGCTAGGAAAGATAGAGGGTAGAAGAAAGGGAGACCACAGATCAGATGGATAGACTCATCAGGGGAGTTATGGGGAAGGGCTTGCAGGATCTGGGCAAGGCAATGGAAAATAGGGATTCTTGGGAGATATCTCATCCACAGGATCGCCATGAGTTGGAACCGACTCAAAGGCAGCTAAGAACAACAACAACAACAGGAATTTCCCAACGCTCTGATTTTGGTACGGTCAGTCATACGATATACAACAAAGACCTTAATATTGCCTATTAGAGGCTGTACTTGTAAATCTTTTTTTCTGAGACTATGGGACAACCTGCCCGAAGAGAATTGACAGCTGAATAGGCTGTCCAAATTTAAAATAGCATTAAAGACTAATCTCTTCTGGTAGGTCGATCCAGATGGTTTTTAAAGTGTGGATTTTCAGTGATGAATTTTTAAATGTGGATTGTTTTTTGATATGTGTTTTATTTGTTCTTTGATACTGATGTATATCTTTTAACCAATGATGTGTTTTTAACAGTTAATCTGTTGCTGTTCCCTGCCTTGACGTATGGAGGAGAGGCAATAAATAAATAAATATTGTCAATATCCTCATCTTGAGCACATAATACAGGGCAATTTTTTTTGAAAAATGGTGCAAAAGTAAAGCTGTTCTTATTCGGTTTTGCTACATTCTTTTTGAAAAAACCCATATACATTTCAGGAACCTAAAGATCTGTTTTCTTGTAGATCTGTTCTCTCATCTTCAGCACCGAGCGTACATTTCAGGAACAAAGAGGTTTCTGTTTGTACATCAAGACGCTACAAATTAGAACACACATTTTACAGATGTGCATTATTTTTACATTGTCACACACACACTCATCTCACACCACAAAACCAGCATGCTTTATTAGACTTACCTTTGTAGTCAGAGAGTTTGATATCTTTGAATTGCCCATCAGGCATTACCGCTGTGGCCTGGAAGTCTGGGGCTGGTTTCCCAATGTAGGCATTTCCCGATGACATTCTGACAGAAGCTTAAGAAAGTTGCAGCTTGTTAGGCTCTGTGACGTCAAGCTCATCTTGCCCAACCCAACCCAGCCCAGCCCAGCACCACCCAGGAAATGTTCTGCACTCATTCTGCTGGCACCGAAAAGGTCATTTAGAATGTGCCAGAATGATCAGCTGCTGCAAATTTGTTTCACAGAAGCTGTGATTTTTATGGCCTCACTGCTTTGAGATAAAAAATATATATATTATTTCAACTGTCGCATACAGTTTAACGATCATGATAGCTACTTCATTTAGGGTGACTTGAGGCAAGCTTTCACTATATGTGTAACTAAGGCCCAAGACACACTGCAGAAATCATCCAGTCTGAGACCGCTTTAACTGCCCTGGCTCAGTGCTAGGGAATCCAGGGAATTGTAGGGGGGTTGCAGACTGCCAGAAATAGTGCAAATTGAGTCCACTTTTAGGGTTAGGGTTAGGGAATCATGGGAACTGTATTTTATTGTGGCACCAGAGCTCTCTGACAGAGAAGGCTCAATGTCTCAGAAAAAAAACAAAACAATTTCCATTATTCCTTAGCACTAACCCTAACCCTAAAAGTGGACTCAATTTGCACTATTTCTGGCAGTCTGCAACCCCCCGTAGTTTATTGTGGCACCAGAGCTCACTGACAGAGAAGGCTAAATGTCTCACAAAACTACCGTTCCCAGAATTTCTTAGCATTGAGCCAGGGCAGTTAAAGCAGTCTCACACTGGATTATTTCTGCAGTGTGATTTGCATCTAAGTACTTTAAGGAACAAAGCATGGTGTAGTGGTTTGAATGTTGGACTAAGACTCTGGAGATCAGGATTGCATTCCCTGCTCAGCCATGGAAACCCACTGAGTGATCTTGGTTGAGTCACACACTCTCAGCCCCAGAAAACCCTGTGATAGGATCCCCTTAGGATCACCATACATCAGAAACAACTTGAAGGTATACAACAACAATGTACTTTAAGTATCACTGGTGGAACCCCAGAACGGCATTACTTGAGATGTGGTTTGTAAGTACACTGAATCCCTTAAGCATACTTTTGCTGAGTATTTATTTCCTTAATACAGAAGGAAAAAACAAGCTGTGTTCTTATCCTTTATCCTTTATCATGTACAGTACTGGTCCTTCTCCCAAAACTGCCTCTTAAAAGCAAAAATAAATACAGTACTATACTTCCATTCATAGTTTGGAGTTCCGCATCCTTGCTGCTTTAGATCTCCAAACTTAAAACACAAGATTCAAGTACTCCAATTACAGCTGAAAAATCATAGTTTAGTACACCTTAAGTTAATGGGAATCCAACATTTTAAGACCTATTTGGAGGCTTCAGCAGTTCTGTTGTACTATCAGGTTGAATCAGTTTATAAGACTCCCCTCTCCCAATTCCAGTGTACTTCTGATACTGAGATGCAATGTTTCCATTTTATTTTATTCCAAGACACTGACAAAGAAAGCATTATGTTGACCAGGGATAGGCAACCTTTTTGAGCAAGGGGCCGGGTTGCTGTCCCTCAGACAATTGTGGGGCCGAAGCAAAAATAAATAAAATTTTAAATTTTTTTTTTTAAAAAAATATATGCATGCACACTCTCTCAGCCCCAGAAAAGCCATGATGGCAAAACCCCTCTAGAGATTTTGCCAAGAAAACCCCAAGAACAAGTAATAACAACAATAATCAATATCATCATGGCGGGCGGCTGTGGCAGCAGGAGTTGTCGGCGGCGGCGGCGGCAGGACCAGCCTGGGGCCGGTCCAAAGGCCTCGGTGGGCCGCATCCGGCCCCCGGGCCGCAGGTTGCCTATCCCTGATGTTGACACAAGGAAGAACTCTGAAATTAAGAAACTCTTGATAGGACCTGGCTGTGGATTTAATTCAACAGATTTATCACGTTTATAATGCAGCTTGGCTCCAGTGCAACAATATTACAACTGCAACTCATGCAAGAGTTACTTACATATTTAAAAAAGGCATGCAACATTTCAGACATTCCACACCCGATGAATTAACTACACAAACTGATTGAGCAAGAGTATCTTTCCATTGAGCATCAGCAGGTTTTGAAAGACGTAAAATTCCCAAAGACCATTTATATAAGCCAGTCAAATAGTACACCCCAAAATAAGGGTACCAAAGAAAAGCCTAATCCAGATTTTGTCCTGACTACTGCAGATCTACTGAATCCATAGGTTTTATCTACGTCTTGGCTCACCACTTAACAACTGATCAAATGGGTCTACTCTAGTTGGGACTAACCAACAGAATACCAAATTGTATTTAAGTACATATAAAGATGAGAGCCAGTATGGTGAAGTGGTTTGAGTGTTGGATTATGACTCTGGAGACCAGGGTTTGAATCCCTGCTCAGCCATGAAACCCATTGAGTGATTCTGGGCAAGTCACACTCTCTCAGCCTCAGAGGATGGCAATGGCCAACCCCCTCTGAAGAAACATGCCAAGAAAATCCCCTTTTTGGATGGCCATAAGTCAGAAAAGACTTGAAGGCGCACAACAACATATCCAGATACAATCACCTCTGAATTCTGTTTATGCCACAAGAATCCCTGGTTACCAGTTATGTCAGTGAATTCTGTTCAATGGCAGGCAGCACATCTACTCACATCACAGTCTGAAGTTTTCCATTATGTAGTTGTATGAAATGGAAACTTCGAAGAGGAAGCCTGTCCGTTGAATCGCCATCACCCATCTCAGTCCTGCTTCTTGTCCAAATCTCATCCGCCTTTTGGGCAAGTGAGCAGAGGACCCCTTTATCAAATTTGGCATTAGCGCATTATTCACTCAGTTTTATTCACATTTAACCCCAAATTAACACCCCACGTTCTCAACAATGCTGAATCCAGAAGGCGGAAACATACTCATCTGAACCTACAGTTTTCCATCTCAGGCCTGAACATCTCAACTCCTTTTTATTGCAATGGGTGCATTTTCTTAGGCTGCATCCACAGTGCAGGAATCATCTGGTATGACCCCACTTAAAACTGCCGTGGCTCAATGCTATGAAATTCTGGGAAGTGTAGTTGCTTGTGGCACCACCTTCAGAAGAAAAATGTGACTCCTTTTGAAGTGCAATTGAGTTTAACAACCACAATCCCTGAATGCTGTCAGCCTCTCCCCACCCTGCAGGCAATACTTCCCTGCTTCTAGTTGCTTTAAGGAGGATGGTTCTTCCTCCTCTCTACTCCAGACAGTGTGGCTTAGTGGTTTGAGTGTTGGACTATGCCGCTGGAGACCAGGGTTCAAATCCCTGCTCAGCTACGAAACCCACTGGCTGACCCTGGACAAGTCACACTCTCTCAGCCTCAGAGGATGGCCATGGCAGACCCTTTCTGAAGAAATCTGGCAAGAAAACTCCATGTTAAGTTCACTTTAGGGTCCCCATAAGTCGGAAACGACTTGAAGGCACACAACAACAACTGCAACTCAAGGCAGACACGGAGGCATGGCAGACAAAACAAGGCAAAGAAACTAGTTGCATGAGCAGATCAGTATACATTTTTTTCCCATTTACTCAACACTTGGTGGAGGATCAAGTCCCAAGGAAGAGAGAGCTCCCTTACGAAAGAGAGACACGTGTCTGTTTAAAACAACTAACTTTGTGCGAATGTGCAGACGTGTAAAAATGCAGGATGACCAGAGGCCACAACTACGAAGGAGGGCAAGGCGCTACAAAAATGGGGGCCATCCAATAAAAATGGAAGACATGTCCAAATGAAAGAAAGAAATTGGCAGCATGAGCTTTCCTAGACCAAAATCTACTTCCTCAGATGCATTTGGAGTAAAGCTCATGCAGCCAATTTCTTTCTTTCAATGAGTCTCAAAGGTGCTGCTACAAGATCTCTCTTTACATATTAATTTTTCAGATGAACATGGCTATATATCTTTTAATTCTTTCTTTCAGTGAGTCTCCAAGGTGCTACAAGCTCTCTCTTTACATACTGATTCTTCAGATTAACATGGCTATGTATCTTTGAATTCTTTCTTTTACAGTCAGTCTCAAAGGTGCTGCTATAAGCTCTCTCTACACACTGGTTTTTCAGACAAATACAGCTATATATCTTTGAATTCTTTCTTCCAGTGAGTCTCAAAGGTGCTGCTACAAGATCTCTCTCTACATACTGATTTTTCAGACTAACAAGGCTTATATATCTTTGAATTAATTCTTTCAGTCAGTCTCAAAGGTGCTGCTACAAGATCTCTCTCTACATACTGATTCCACAGACTATAACACGGCTATTTATATATCTCTGAATGACAACCCTTAGGATAAATAATACCCTTAGGTTTATATTTATAATAAAATAAATAACATAAATATAAATAATATAAATACAAACCCTTAGGATAAATAATATAAATATTATCTCTGAATTACAACCCTTAGGATAAATAATATAGATCCCTGCTTCTTCGTCCTGCTCAAAAGGGAGGACGTTTTAGAGCCCTGCTCTGGGTAGAAGGCTGGAGTGTAGGGCGCGTCCGGGTAAAGGAGGACGCCTGCTTCCTTCCCCCCCCCCCCCCCACCCCCGGCCAAATCAAGGTATTGCAGAAGCTAAATTCCCTTTGTAAGAAGAGGTTATCACAAAAGATCAGCATCCAACCCCCCTAAAAATAAATAAATCCATGCAGATAGACCAGGGGTAGGCAACCTTTCCCCTTTAAGGGCCGAGGGACTTCAGCTCCCAGAATCCCAGGAGCTATTGGCCAACATGGGACTATTGGCCAACATGGCTGAGGCTTCTGGGAGCTGAAGTCCCTCGGCCCTTAAAGGGGAAAGGTTGCCTACCCCTGAGATAGACTCTGGGCAGCATCCCTGAAAGCATCCAGGCATCCCAGGACCTTTACCTTTAGGAGGAGCACCAGCAGCGACCAAAGTCCTTCTTCTTCCAGCTGCCTCTGTCCTCCAGTCCGTTCCAGCATCTGTTCTTATGCTTGGAAGGCTCTCGCGAGAGAACCACGTCAAGCAAAGAAAGAACCCATCCCTTGGTTCCACCTTCTTCCCGGATTCTTGCAGCAGATGCTGCAGCGCCAGCATGACTTTGCAAATTGGGGGATTTGGGGGTTGGGGGATTTGGGTTGGTTTTTTGTTCCTGCAACCAGGGAAAGTGCAAAGGCAGTAAGGAAAACAAAAATAATGACCACCAACTTTATAGATTATGGGTCTTTGCAGACTGCCAGAAATAGTGCAAATTGAGTCCACTTTAACTGTCCTGGCTCAGTGCTAGGGAATCATGGGAATTGTGTTTTTTTTTTCTGAGACATTGAGCCTTCTCTGTCAGAGAGCTCTGGTGCCACAATAAACTACAGTTCCCATGATTCCCTAACCCTAACCCTAAAAGTGGACTCAATTTGCACTATTTCTGGCAGTCTGCAAAGGCCCTATATTATATAGCAAAGCCTTTGACTGCATATAGATCATGAAAGGCTATGGAATGCCTTTAAAGACATGGGAGTGCCAACACATCTCATAGTCCTGGTGAGGAATCTTTAGAGGCTACTGTCAGGACAGAATATGGAGAAACTGAACGGTTCCCAATTGGCAAAGGGGTCAGACATGGCTGCATCCTTTCATCCTATCTGTTCAACTTATTTGCAGAACATATTATAAGAAAAGCAGGCTTGGATACAGAAGGAGGAGTGAAAATAGGAGGAAGGAATATCAATAATAAAAGATATGCAGATGACACCATAGTACTAGCAGAAAACCTCACAGACCTGGAACACCTACTCAGGAAGACCAAAGAAGAAAGTGCTAAGGCAGGCTTAATGTTGAACATAAAGAAAATAATGACCAGCGAGGACCTTCACAAGTTCAACCTAGACAATGAAGAAATAGAAATAGTAAAATAATTTTCATGCCTGGGATCAAACATTGATAGAAATGGGGACTGCAGTCAGGAAATCAGAAGAAAACTAAGAATGGGGAGGGTGGCTATGAAAGAACTAGAAAAGATTCTAAAATGTTAGAATCATACAAGCCACTGTGTTCCCTATTACCATCTATGGATGTGAGAACTGGACAGTTAAGAAAGATGATAGGAAGAAAATCAATGCACTTGAGATAATGTGGTGCTGGAGAAGAGTGCTGAGGATCCCATGGACAATCAAAAGGACAAACAAATGGGTCCTAGAGCGGATCAAGCTGGAAACCTCCCTGGAAGCCAAGATGACCAAACTGAGGCTGTCGTACTTTGGACATATCATAAGAAGAGAGAACTCTTTGGAAAAGACAATAAAGCTGGGGAAAGTAGACGGAAGTAGGAAGAGAGGAAGGCCACATGCGAGAAGGCTGGACTTTATTAAGGAGGTTATAGGTATGGGGTTGCAGGATTTAAGCAGAGCAGTGGAGGACAGAGGGTCTTGGAGATGTCTCATCCATAGGGCCGCCATGAGTCAAGATAGATGCAAGGGCAGTTAACAACAACAAAACCAGGGATGGGACCAGATGCCTAGTGCCAGTCGGGCTATTGGTCATGCAAATGCCATGGTGGTAGTTATAGGGAGGAATGGGAACCCACATTTGCATCCACACTGGAGAAATAACCCGGTTTGACACCACCTTAAATTGCCATGGTATGGAATCCTGGGAATTGTACTTTGTTGTGGCACCATACCTCTCTCACAGAGGAGGCTAAATGGCTTACCAAAAGTACAAATCCCAGAATTCCATAGCATGGAGCCCTGGCAGTTAAAATGGTGTCAGACTGCATGAATTCTGCAGTGTAGATGCAGAGAGGCAAGGAGGAAAATTTGTGAGCATGACCAAAAAGCTAGCCAGCCAGCCAGCCAGCCAGCCAGCCAGCCAGCCAGCCAATATTTTAGTATGAAAATATCAGAGAAAAATATCAAAAAGCTAGCTGGCCAGCCTGGCAATATTATATTATGCAAACATCAGAGAAAAATATCAAAAAGCTAGCCAGCCAGCCAATATTATATTATGCAAATATCAGAGAAAAGGTATATAAATGGGTCGTGCTAACTTCTTAGATGGCTTCCATAGTACAATATTATCATATGGAATCTCTGCAACAGAGAATATTCCCTATCATAATGACAGGTAAGCGCCATAAAACTATTTTCCAACTCCTTCTCAGGACACCTCACAGAAATCTCTCTCTCTCTGTTTCTCTGCATAAAGTGTCGATGTTATGACTATATACAGGGCAGATTAGTATGGACACATGATTTTGATGTTCAAGATGACCATAGGCTAAATATCTCCCAACAAACTTCACTTCCCAGAATTCCATAGCATGGAGCCATGGCAGTTCAAGTGGTGTCAACCTGGATTATTTCTCCAGTGTGAATGCAGCCTGAGACAGGAGACAAGGAAGTCAGTTTTTTATTGCTACTGTGGTTGCTTTCATCTCATGATTAATGCTGCCAATCGTAAGCCATTACTCTTATCCGTTACTAAGGGCCTGGAAAAGTGATTGTCAACATTACAATGGGAACTGTTGTGCAACTGATCTCCATTAGAGTGGAAAGCACCAAGTCATGAGGAACTGGGAGTTTCTTGCTTGGAAAGGAAACTCACATGTCTGGGGTGGGTGTGTTAATAATCACATTCAAAACACACAGAACGGTGATGATTTTATGGAGCTAGCCAAAATGTACAAAATACACGATGCAAGCTTTTTAAGCTCCACTGGGTTCTTCCTTGGGCAAAGGCGTTAAAAATCATACAAGAGGGAACAAAATTTAGGAGGATGTTAGTCCTAAGCCTGCATTTTGTCCAGAAGTGATTCTTCTCAGTTCAGGTATTAAGGAGGGACATGCAAGCAAGTCCCTTCTTCTGGCCATGTGGGTGCCCCAGGACATACCCTCTTAAGATCCAAGTTGCCTCCCGCCTTTGTATTCACACAATTAAGTCCCACCATTTTTGCTCTACTGCTTTTGAATTGGACTGCAGGAGGAATTGTGAGTGAGGCTAGATGAAAATCACTCAGTTTCTGGCAGCCCTCCATATCCGCAGATTTTTTATCCAAGGATTCAACCATCCACTGCTTGAAAATATTAAGAAAAAAATATTAATTCCAATAAGCACACCTTGATTTCACCATTTTATATAATAAACACTTTTTTTTTTACTATGCTATTGTATTTAATGGGACTTGAACATTCATGGATTTTGGTATCCACAGGGAACATTCATGGATTTTGGTATCCTTTCAGTCAACTCAACTGTGAATTATGAAGACCCTATCACAGTAAACTTCACCAAATAATGAGTATCATGAATTCCCAGGTTCCATCTT